TGCTGATGAAATTCTAAAGTGAGTCTTCAGAAACAACCTAGTATTTTAGTTTACTGTAAATTACTTTGTATTTTTTACAGACACTATAAGATGTACATGTAAAATAACATATATATGTATGTATGTGTGTGTATATATAAACTTAGCAATTGTAAATTATTTTTATGTATATGATGATACAGGTGTCTTTATAATTATAGCCTCATTGATTGCCAGTGTGGGCATTAGAAGCTTCTTGTTGTCAGTCCTGATATTATATGGTGTTCCTTGTTTGTTTTTTTAAATGGGGGCAGTTACTATGTAGTTAAAGTTGGATGGGTGGTTTTTTGTGTCAGTATTTAATTCTGGAGTTCTGTTATTCTTCTGTAAAAATTGTCAACATCTTGAATATCACACTTTTAACTGGAACATCTGAAAATCAATGTTTTAGAAAATTTTAATACTCAGATACAGGCTGAGGGGCAGAGAAAAGTGAGATTTCCCTAATAATTTGTTTTATTTGTAACATTTAAATTAAATTTACATCTTTGTGGAGGAGTCTACTACTTTATTAACTATTATCAGAGGGTTGTTGCAGAGGGATTAAATGTTAAAATCTGTGACAATGCTTGGCACATCATAAGAGCTCAGTAAATGTTTGGAATTAGGAGCAACAGCAGTAGTTACTGTTATTAGAAAAAATAGCATGCTTGACATTTTTCTTCTTTTTGCATTATAATTTGATCCCAAGCCCAGCTGTTCTAACAAGACCTTAAGCCTTTTTTCTTATGGTAATGAAGTGGCAATTCCTTAGAATGTTTTTGCTGTACTTACCATGTCCTTGCACCTTAGTTTCTCCCTGAGTCATAAATGCTCAAAATCAGACAACCAGCTAATAGCAGAATTCTGACAGGTATTTGGCTCTCCCCATCTAGTAATTGTAGCCCCTGAAGTTTGGTTGACTTCAGAAAGTTTGGAAGATAATGAAAATTTCTTTGTTTGCAAGGTTTGCACTGGTAGAATATCCAAACTAATTGATGAAAATAAAATGTTGCAATAATGCTCCTTGTGTTACAGTGTATGTAACCTTGGAAGAATTCTGTTGTGTTTAGAAGCATGTACCAGTCTACTGCAGTTCAGTGTTACAGGATTGATGTATTGGAGGACAGTAAGCAGAAAGAAAATGCAGTTTCAAATCCGTGGGTTATACTTACTAATAAAGTGTTAGGCTCAAAAAAATCTTAAGTCTTTACGTTAATTTTCTCTTTTAGGACACTGACTTCTTTTAGGTTCTTAAACTTGTAGGATATTTTTATTTGCATGGCTTTTTCCTTTTAGCTATTTGAGATAGGAAAAGAATGTCTGGGAATATTGGAAAATGTAAGCATAAATTGAGATATATGTGACTTAGTTTGAATGTATGCAGAATCAGAAAGTGTCTTTCTTACCTGCTTGGTCAGTATCTATTCTATCTTTTTCTCTTGTGGGGAGTTCTTGGATTATTGTTGCTTGGGGCTGCTAAATTTATTTAAGAAACTCTGCTTTGGGCGGCACCTGTGGCTCAAGGAGTAGGGCACCAGCCCCATATAGGGTGGCGGGTTCAAACCTGACCCTGGCCAAAAGCAGCAAAAAAAAAAAAAAAACGAAATTCTGCCTTTAGTAGTATTTCTTTAAGTACTTATTTATACAACAGACCAATCTGCTAGAATAATTACTAGCCTTTTTCTCACTTCATATTGTAATTTAAAAATTTGTTAGTGTGTATATTAGACATTAATAAATAGGTTCTTTAAGACACATGAAACATTTATGGAATCTCTGATGTACTTTATAAGTTGTTTGACTTTGCAAGATGTAATATTAAAATGAAGAATTTAATGGTTACAAAGAAGTTAAATACAAAAGCCTAAGTATAAGGAGAAAAAATGGTCTTTGGCATTTAATGGGCTGATATAGAAGATACCATGTTTGGATGAATTCTCCTTTTGTATATTTTATTATTATACATAGTCTAAATCTTGAAATTCTAAAATTGGAAATAAGGAGAGTAAAACTGGGCAGTTTTGTGTATTCACTCTAGAGATCTCTGACACACCTAAACTATGGAGCACAGTTCTTTCTTTTTATGAAATGTCTCAGACCATTGTGAAGGAAAAAGTTGTGATGGTGTCAGAAGAGTTGGCCGAAAATTCAGTCTTGTCACTTAGCTGTACATTATTGGGAAAGTCTTCCTTGCTGGGCTTTAGTTTTCCCAGTAGTAAAATGGGGATAATAGTAAGCGCCTACTTCATTATGCTATTTAAAATATTAGATGAGATAATACTTAAATATTGTAAGTTGAATTTTTAACCACTAATAAGAGGGTGGATTGTAAGTTATTTGTCTATATCATGTTAATGATATTGAATTGTAAAATTTTAAATACATAAATTAGAATCAAAATAAACCAAAAAGTTAGTGATTCACCTTGCCCCCAATAAACAATAAACGAGTTCTTTTTCTTTTTTTTTTTTTTTTAAAAGATAGAGTCTCACTTTGGCGAATAAGCAAGTTCTTAATGTATATAGTTCTTGAGAATATATATGATACATTTGGGTGTATATTATCAGATAGGTATCATGACTGTACTGGTGTATTGTTACGGGATTGAAAAATTTGAATTATGAGCATTTATGTTGATGAATTTTAATTTTTAAAATATAAACATTTAATTTTTATTTATTAATTTATAAGCTTACATAAATACATATGTGTTTTTGGAGAAATGACATATACATTTTGAAGAAATGACATGGATATAGATTTTAAATGTTTATCAAGTTAAGAATAGGTTTTATACCTTAGGGTTATCTGTTATTATCAATAATACTGTTTATTATGTGTAGTGCTAAGGCTTTTTACACATAGGATCTCACTTAATTTTAATCCTTTCAGCAATATTCTGAGGATTTATTATTATTATCCTACCTCCATTTTATAAGTGAAGAAGTAGAGGTTTCCTTTTGGGATCACATAGGTAACAAATACAACTTGGATTCAAGCCTAGATTTGAGTCCTGAGCCTCTGCTTTTAAGTGTCCACACTGCTTTACCAAACTATGTAATTCCCATAGAAACCTAGAAAATGAATTACTAAAGAAGTTTTCAATTTACTGAAATGGCTACAGCCATGATGTGTCATTCTGAGACTTGTTTCATGTTGATTTTGGTTGGGTTGGGTTCAGTGTTTTAGAAATAGTAAGCACTGGAATAGAATGGAGTGAAGGCTTTTGGAACAGTGCCTGTTTTGTTCATCATTGTATGCCCATTGCCAAGTACAGTGCCTAGCATGGGGGAGGGTGTTTAATATCTATTTCTTAACGATTGGAAGTTGGGCACTTTAGTATATAGGTTATTTTATAAATTTTATTAGGTGCAGATTGTTTACATTCACTGTTTTCATCAGGTCCTTACATAACTATTTATATTTTAGACTGTTAGATAAATGTCCTTTCTTTTTTTTTTTTTTTTTGAGATAGAGTCTCAAGCTGTCGCTCTGGGTAGAGTGCTGTGGTGTCATAGCTCACAGCAACCTCAAACTCTTGGGCTCAAGCGATCCTCCTGCCTCAGTTTTTCTATTTTTAGTAGAGACGGGGTCTGGCTTTTGCTCAGGTTGGTCTTGAACTCATGAGCTCAAGCTCCACCCACCTCAGCCTCCCAGAGTGCTAGGATTACAGGTGTGAGCTACTGTGCCTGGCTTAAATGTCCTTTCTTTTAAGAAATATTACAAAAGCAGTGCATATGAGTTATGAAAGCCAGTAGAGACTTAGCAATATAGATTTGTATATAGTAGAAAATTAGGGCTCGGCGCCTATAGCTCAACCGGCTAAGGCGCCAGCCGCGTACACCTAAGGTGGCGGGTTCGAATCCCCAGCCCGGACCCGCCAAACAACAATGATGGCTGCAACCAAAAAATAGCCGGGCGTTGTGGCGGGCGCCTGTAGTCCCAGCTACTTGGGAGGCGGAGGCAGGAGACTCGCTTGAGCCCAGGAGTTGGAGGTTGCTATGAGCTGTAATGCCATGGCACTCTACCCAGGGGGACAGCTTGAGGCTCTGTCTCAAAAAAAAAAAAAAAAAAAAGAAAATTAGTCTTCCCATTCCTATCCTGCTTTTAAACTTTTCTTGTATGGTTATGTATGTGTAATACATATATGCATTTTTTAAGAAGTAGAATTATACCATAATACTCTACTGAAGTTTGCTTTTTGGGGGGATAACTATTTTCAAAACTTGGTTGTCATTGAACATAGGACTCATGTGGGAATGGGAGTAAGATTGGAGGAAGAGAGGTAGGTAACATACAGTGCCCTAGACTGATTGTTACTTATGAGGCAGAAAGCATTTTAAATTCTTTTTATTTGTACCCAATGCCTTAGAAATGGTCATTGTTATTTTTAAAACTTAAAAGAAAAATTCATTTAAAATGACAACATTGTTTTCTGTCCTGTCCAAGTAATTTAATTTAGGAGGTGTCGTTTCAGAGTTAAATTCTACTAGTTTATTTTGGTAGCTGCTTAGAGAGCAATTGTGTTTTTATTTTATTTTATTTTTATTTATTTTTTGAAACAGAGTCTTAAGCTTTCACGTTCAGTAGAGTGCTATGTTGTAACAGCTCACAGCAACCTCAAACTCTTGGGCTTAAGTGATTCTCTTGCTTCAGCCTCCCGAGTAGCTGGGACTACAGACACCTGCCACAACGCCCAGCTGTTTTTCTGTTGTGGTTGTCATTGTTTTTAGCTGGCCGGGTCCAGGTTCAAACCTGCCAGCCTTGGTATATGTGGCCAGCGCCCTCCCCACTGAGCTACAGGCACCACCCCATTTTTGTTTTTAGATAACTTTAAAAACTGGTAGTCTGAGTTCTTGGTGGTTAGGAAGCATTCACTCACTCGACATTTTCAAAGTAAAGGTTTTAAAATTAAAGTAAGGTTTTTAAAACCAAGATATACTTGTAACATTTTATTTTTTATTATTTTTTGACCCCAAACCATCTTTTATTATACACTTTAACCACCAGGAAACCAAGGGCAGGCCGGGGGGACCCCTAGGCATAGTACTATAGGTTGGCTTTCTTCTTGGCTTGCACCTCCAGGATACCCTTCCATGCAGTCCTCGTGGGTGAGCACTGTTGCACCCTTGTGTAGTGTGGTCATGCCTGCCTCCACACACACAGCTTTGCACTGGACCCCATTGAAATCATCTGTGCAGCGGGCCAGCTCTTCATAGTTCACGTCAGGACTGACATTCATCTTTTGGGAGTGGATCTGCATGATTCTCTCCTGGGCCTCATTAGGCATTGGGAACTCGATCTTGCGGTCCAGACAGCCTGAGCGGACAGGGCAAGGGCCAGGATGCCCACCCTGCAATTACCTTTACTTGTGTGTTGGGCTGGAAGCCATCCAGTTGGTAAGCTCCAGCATTGTCCTTTGTACCTCCTGGTCCCCCGCCCCCGCCTTCTCACTGTCAAAGCGCTTGGTGCCAATGGCATCCAACTCATCAATGAAAATAATAGATGGAGCTTTCTCCTTGGCCAAGGTGAAGGTGTCCTGGACCAACTTGGCACCATCCCCAGTGAACATCTGCACCAGCTGGGGGCCAGCGAGCTTTAGGAAGGTGGCCTTAGTCTGTGCAGCACAGGCCCGGGCCAGTGAAGTTTTCCTTGTCCCTGGAGGCGCGTACATTAGCACCCAATTTGGAGGCTGGATCTCCAAATTCTTAAATTTCTCCTTGTGGTTCCTTGTCCTGACAATGGCTTCTACCAGCTCCTGGATCTGCTTGTCTAAGCTCCCGATGTCATTGTATTGCTCTGTGGGCCTCTCATCCATCTCCATGGCCTTCACCAGTGAGTCATACTCTGTGGGCAGGATCTCCGGGATCAGAGTCTTTGTTCACACTCATCAGGTCTCCTGGCTTCAGCTTTTCAGCATCCAGCAACCCAGTTACAGGCAGGAAGTATGTCTGTTGTGTAGAGGTTTTGATCACTGCACACTTGCCCTTCCTCTGAGAGTCCAGGTCAATATTGGCACCATTCTCTTCTTGGTCATTTGGATCAACATCTAATAGCTCAATAATGTTGGAGACAAAGTATGGCAGGGTCTTGTTCACTTTGATTTTCTCACTGTTCTCTTTGATCTTGTCCTTCATGGCTTGGAGTTCATGGGTGACTCGTAACACTTCACTCTTCATGATCTTTTTTTTTTTTT